CACTAACAAATGCCCATTCTGGCAACCTTAACCTGACCACCCCTCCAAGCACATGGGAACATGGTGACAAGACCACCTCCTGCTTGTGCCATGGGTTCACCAGTGACTTCCCATGCAGCTGGCTGGCACTAGAAGAGCAGGCTGGTGCTAATTATCATGCAGGAACAAGATCACAATCATTGCGCAGGTAGCACCAGGCATCTGCTTGCTCAAGACACAGGGTAGCACACTTCTGCTCTAGTGGTTCCCCAGTGTCATGTTCAGTGGGAAAGGTTGTTACAGTTACTATGAAAGAGTAATCTATTACAAATTACTTATTAATGCAACTGAAAAATCAGTGACATATTACTGAGTATGCCTGTGTAATGCTAGCTCAACGGCAAGACTTGGTTCACGCTGCTGGTTTCTCCTGTGCTTTGTATTGGACCCTTCTCAGCACAATTTACACACAGAGCTTCTCTCCTCCTCACCTGGACCACCTGGGGCTTCTCTCTGTGGAGCTGCTGTGCCTGGCCACACATGTACTCTCCAACAGTCAAACTGCTGTAACACCCAACAAAATACCAGCAAATTTGAGACACTTCTGCATCCGTTTCTGGCAGGTACCGGGATGTGCTAAGCCTGCAGGTTGTGTCCCACAGCATCTGTGCTGATAATACTTGGTGGATTTTGGAAAGCAGCCTCAGCAGGTGAGTCACTGGGCTTTCCCACCCCTGCCAGCAGTGGGTGGGGGCACAGTCAGCATGGTGCAGGTAAGACCTGCTCTGTCCTGCACTCATCTGAGCCTGCTTCCAAAACCTCACTACCTCAGCACAAACTGCTGGAAGGCCTCTTTGCTGGCTACAGCCCCTTGGCTCCCCTCCAGAAACAGGAACAGCTCTAATCATCTTCCTACTAGTTTGGCACCATCAGAGTGTTATTGGTGCTTCTGCATGAGGAATTTTGCCTGTGGTGGATATTCCTGCTTTAAATGCTCTCATTAAGGAGTGAGGGCTTTGTGCAAGATCCTCACATGCAGCCCCAGAGCCCAGGTCCAACACCAGCCTTGGGATGGGCACAGCTGACCAGCAGCAAGTGAGGGAGCAGCTTGCACTCACTATATATTCAGTTGTTGGTTTAATCATCTCAGTCCCAAACAGTTCTTGAATATAAAAGAATTATGAGAAATGAGGCAAGAACAGGAAGGTATTTAACTAATGAAGCTGTGAATTGGAAGCGCAGATCAGCCAAACGAAGGAAGTGGGTACAAAGAAGGAGCTGCCTCAAAAAGTTCAGTCAGGAGTCCTGCATCAGCATCACAGTAAAAGCTGCACAGAATTTGCTAAATTTGGAACAAGAGCTGGGCAGGCAACAGAAGTGGGGTGATGAAAGGGCACAATAGTTGCAATTATACTCATGGACACAGGGGAATTGTGGCTCGGTGCAACCAAGCAGGTGGAGGCCACATCTGTCCCAGAACGAGGGGTGGCCAACAGGCAGAATGATTGTGAAGGTTCAGTAAAAGGCTAAAGCTATCACAGACCCCAACAAAGCTGGAAGAGAAGAGCTCCAGAGAACTCAACAAACAAAATATACATACAAATACATATATATACACATCAGTGGCAAAAAAATATGGGAAATATGATAGAAAGGAGAAGCAGCAGAAATAGACATAAGACCCAGAGCAAGGGGCAGTCTGAAGTGGTTTATTTAAGTAATGACCAAAGGCAGTGTCCTGTTGGCATCTGGAGCTGGACATCTCTCTGCAAGACCAAACCTTGAGGGTTTCACACGGAAAGGGCTCACAGGTCTGCTCCTGGCAGAAGGTCCCACTGGATGGGGGCTTGGGGAGAGGTGCTGCTGGCCTCACGAAGGCGGCTGCACGCTGACGCAGGATGCAGCTCCGTGCCTTTATCACTGGAGTCAGACTGTTCCTCCGTGGGGCGCAGGAAAGCTGAGCTCTCCAGCCTTGCAATGAGCCACTTCCTTTTTTTCTTTTTTTAGGATCACAATTTCTTTTCTCTTCCTCCTCCACCTCAAGAAAGCGGATATTTTAATAATTGGGTCGGAAGAGCTTGCTATCCTGAAGCGATGGGTGGTAGCGGTGCTGCACCTATAGTGACATCATGCTGTCAGCCTGGCCAAGTCCTCATCCCGTCAGGGCTATTCAGAAAAGCACAAATTATTCTGCCAGATCCCCGGCCAGATGACAAACTGATTCACGGCACTAACTAAAAGAAAAGAAGGAGAGGAAAATGCACCATTTCCTCCAACTGAAACTACATTAACCTGTTACCCCAAGGAAAACTGTCCAAAGCTTTTCTTGTGGCGGCTGAGCTGTATGCCAGACGGTTGAAATGCATTGCCAGAGACCCCAGTGCTGTGCTATGAAAGTTCATCTGCAGAGCACAGTTTCCATTTGATATCCATCAGCATTCAGAGGAAAAAGATCTTTTTCCAGAACACCTGCAGAGTATCTTTTATGTCAGGACCTAAAACTGTTATTAGAAACTTCTAATTAAAACTTAACAAAAGCAAATACCTGGTTTTCTAAGCTGACCTCAGGATGCTGAAAACTAAAAGTAAGACCAGGGAGACTGCTGCAAATAAAAGCTTTTACACAATCTGTTAGTCAATTCACAAGGGAAACGCTCCTGAATACCTCAAGAAGTCTAAAATTACATCATTATGGCAAGGGCACACCAGTATGTTGCTTATTAATCATTTCCAGGAAGATGACTATCAGAAAGTCATTCTTAATAGCACAACTGCCTGGCAACATGGGGTACCTTAGATTTCCCTCACATGAATTTCCTCTTTGAGCAAATTTCCACCCCTGCCAGAAGCCTGCAAACCAAATGCACAGTTTCACATGTTCTTCTGACAAAAGACTGGATTCACACAACACCCTACAACTATGACTAACTCCCAAACTCTCATGAAACCATTCTTCTCTGGTAGGAGTGAGAGACACACCTTGTCTAAACCAGTGAGTGATGCTAGATCTCGCATGTTCACCTCTGCTGCAAAGACACGCGAGACACCTTCTCTCACCAGATGTAACCTCAGGTATGGATGCCAGGAGTCAGCATTGCCTAAACTGCTCTGAACTTGCTCCTTAAATGAAATAACCAAGACTTGTTCACCATACATGTACAGCCAGAGCAAAACAGCACCTTTCAAAAGCTTGGACGATGACAGAAAGAAGAGACGGTAAACAGGAGGAGGTGGAGAGAAAGAGGAGAGGAAGTCAAATAAGACTCTCATGTCTATCTGGAACACTTCAGCATGTGTTAGCGAGGTAAGAACTCCTTCCTCTACTAGATGAAGCAACTGAGAAGAGCAAGGAAACAAAGACAAGGAAACACAAGACAAGAAAGGAGCAAAGCATACTGGAACAAAGGAGGAAGAGATATACACCACATTGGCAAAATCACAGATGGAGTATTATTCTTGTGAATTATAATACAGAAGAATAATGGGAACTATGATACAGTGGGGTGAAATACAGCAGTCTGTTACAGCAGCACAAGAGTCAAGTCCACAAGCAAAATTCAGAGCCCTCCCAGCTACCTTTGATTCAATGAGTCCTGTGATCTGCTGCTCCGTTCCTCCAAGGGTTACTGATGCAATGTGCCAGATTCCATGTTTCTTTCCAACTGTTCTGAGTCTCCTGCATCTGATCTCAAAGAAGGGAGCAGAAACAGCTGGAAGAGAGAAACCAGAATGGCATATTCCAGCAGCAGCCCTTGGAAGAACAGTCAATGACAGCCTTGTGAGAGGTGCCACTGTACCCCTGGCACATACGTTTGCATGTGGACGTGGATTCATACGTCTTCTAGAAGAAACACACATTGCTCTGGTGGTCACAGAGTATCAGAGCATCTTTGGACTTAGCATGATCAGTACAAGCTGAACAGATTGACAGCTGAACAGCACAGCCACAATCAAAGTCATGGGTGCCAAACAAGTAAAACGTGCTAATTGCAGCCTAATTTGGGCCCCATACTTCTCCTCCAATGGTACCTTTACTTCCTGAGCAACTCCACCTACTTTGCATCATATGAGCAGCTTGCAGCCCACAGGGGAACCCAGTCAAGGTCTACTCTGTTTAAGCTTTAAAGTTTTTGTAGATCTAGCTGCAGGCCAAAGGAGGAGTGAAAACCAGCAGGTGAAACGGGAGACCGAAGGAATAAGCTTCTTCAGAGAAAATTTAGGTATTTGCTGCCAAAGGGGAGGATTAGTTGTGAACATCAGGAAGTCAAGGAAGCAGAGAGCAGCAGGAGGTCACTGCAGATAATAGGGACAGTAGGAGCAAGGCTATTGCTCATCAAGACACATGAAGGGGGAGAGAAAAAAGCTTGTGCTCTTTCATATGTGCAAGGACTAGAAAGCAGGAGTGAGGAGGTCAGGGAGATAGTGCTGGTGGAGGAAGGGCCATGAGGGAAAAAAAAAAAAAAAGCCTTTGATGAACCATGGAAAAGTGATTACTAAGGGAAGAACTGTCAGGGTTGGTGTTAGAACCTCCTCATTTCCACTAGAAAGAGGTAAGATGTGGCAACTCACAGCCAGATTTGGGGAGGAAAGACCGGGAGCACAGCAAGACCAAGACAGAGGATGCCATTTAAAGGACAGAGTATCAGACAGAAAGAATATCAGATTAGGATGGTTGGGAATTACATGTAGGAGAGAAGAGAAAACAAGTTTAAAGGCTTACAGGATACTTAAGGCAAGACAGACCAAGAGTTCTCTTACCAGCTTTACATAAGGAATCAAAGGGAAACTGCAACATTTTTTCTGACCGCAACTTCCTTATAATCAATTCCTAGGAAGCATGGGTGCACCACATCTCTCCAGGACAGCATTACTGCCACAAGCCCAGTCCTAGCACTCACAGCACCATTTCTAGAGGGGTCCCTCAACTTCAATCCCTTCTTTCCCATACAAACCTACTGCCTTTTAACTGCAAATAGCACTTCCAAGTATCAAGTCATTCAAGGCAGTAACAAAATGAGTACCTGGAGTATCACAAGTCTGCCTGTCCCCTGAAGAGTTGGTTGGAGATGTCCGGTGCCGGTAGACAAGATGTGGTTTATTGTGCTCTTCTTCATACTCCTGTTCCTCAAGCGATAGGAGTGGCTCTACAAAATAGTCCCCATCATCAGACTTGAATGTGCCTAGCTGAGAGGGACCAGAGAGAGGAACAGGAGGTCAGCTTTGCGTGATGACAAGCCACCTAGCAGCAGTAGCAAGCAGCTAATGAGGGAGGTGTGCCTAGTTCTGTGGTAACCCATTGAAGGCACCAGCTGGAGCTCCATCTTCAGTCACATTCCTTGCACCCACCCTGGGCTGCACAGCCATCCCACTGGTGCTTACAGAGGGCTAATTACTAACCCACAGGCAGGGAGCATGGGGGCAGGTCTGCCAGACCTTGTCCTTATGCCAGTGATGATTATCAAGCCTGTCCTGCCCGAAGAGTGATGGTGCTGCTGTGTGCTGGAGGCCCCAGTGCAACCCCATCATGTGCTGGTTTCATGCAGCATGTCTCCCTGAGACAGGCTTTTAACCCACATATGAGGATCAGAGGAAGGTGTCCAGCTAGTGAAGTCACTGCTTATGAAAAGACATCAACACTCCTACTTGCATACAACTATGAATGCAGGTATTTGACGGGTAAATAAAATATCCAAGACAAAACATTCCGCAGCCATCCCATACTGGCATCCATGGCCACTACCTAGGAGGGAAGTCACACACATGTGCTGTGCCCAAGCTGAGGCGAACACATGCACCCAGAGGAACTCGTGGACCGAATGAAGCCAGCAGAAACCTCCGGGGAGACCCCGGGATTGGCGCCCCGTGGGACGGAAAGACACAGAAGAGTCAGCCCTTTTAAGAGCTTCTGCTCATCCCGGTGCCAACATCCCTGCAGCGAAGGGCACCCAGCTGGGGTACCAGGGACTGGGCCATGCCCCTGGTCCGAGCTGCTGGGTGGCTCCGGGGTCAGCGCTGGTGTAAGCCCGCAGCCACGGGCACCCCCGGGGAGAGGCGGGGGTCCGTGCCCGTGTCTGGCCCGCGGACCGCCCGCCGGGGTGTCGGTGGGTGGCACTTTTTCCCCAAGACGCGCGGAGCAGGAGCGGCGCACCCAGGAAGCCGAGCGATTAAGAGCGGTGTGGGAGACAGCCCCGGCCGGGGCGGGCNGGACCGACGGGCCGGGACGGGGGAGCCGCCCGCCCGCCCGCTTGCCTGCCTGCTCTCCTTCGCTTTCCGCCTCTCCCCACGTCGGGCTGGTGGACGAGAGCCGCCGGGACTCAGTTTAAAAAGGGGCGTGCTCCATAGATCAAGGGGGAAAGCCCGCCCTCCTCAGGTCCCCCCCACTCCAGTGTCACTTCGTTGCTGGCGAACGCCGAAGTCCAGGTTTTGGTTAAGAAAAGCTGGAGCTGGACGGAGCGGGCGACGACTCCGCGCACCCGTGTCCAGCGCCCGCTCCCCGCCGGCTCCTTCGAAAAGGCTTTAAAATCCCAAAGAAGCCCGGGCAGAGCGGCACCGGCAGCTGTCTGCTCTGCTAGGGTTTGGTGATGAGCCACTTTGTCACTCACTGGGAGGAGAGCTGAGTTTTCTTACATAATTAACGTTTAAACTTTTTTTTTTTTTTTTTTTTTTTTTTTTCAAGGCAGCTTGAAGAAGTGGACCAGCAATTGAAGAATCCTGTGTGGCACTTCTTATAGCAGTTGTTTTCTTCTGCATTTCTCAGATAAGAGGCAATTCAAGCAACTTTTGTTCAGGATTAGATTTGTGTTGTGCACTTTTCAGGCACCCTGAGGGAAAAGGAAGATTATATCCTTATCTGAGTTTGTTTTACAGTGTGAAAGGTCTCTGTAAAAATTTAAGACATCCTTTAGAGCTAAATGTAATTAAGCGTTGTCTTCTACCCCTTCCTCAAATCAAAAACCCCAAGCTTGATTTAAAAGGCTTTTAAACCTTTTAAGCATATAAGCAAGGCAAAAGAGAAATCTGGAAGTTCAATTTGCACTTCCATAGAAGATTTCAAAGTTCTTTACATTCTTCGCTCAGCTTTGGGACAAGGCACAGAAATGTTGGTATTTGCTGTAGAAAGGGAAAATTTTAAAATAAAACTCAATTCAGAATCCAGTTCTGGGCAAAATGGCACCTCCTGACTCTTCAGAACATCTGGTGAAATCCTACAGCCTCAAGAATTTGGAGTCAATTATTAATTTTGTATGATGAATACAAAAGAAGAAGAGTAAGTGAAGCATCACCTGCAAAGCCATGCATCTTCAGCCCTGACTGGCTGGCCAGGCTTGCAGGGCTGGGAGGCAGAGCCTCGGCAGTGCAGGAATCTCCAGGATTGTGGAGACCCAAGTCAGCACACCCTTAGGGTGAGGTGTAATGGCACACATAACCTCCCTGCGTGGCGTTGTGCCCATGCTTATAAACCAGGTTTAATTAAAATCTTGGATATTTACCGTGAGATAGCTCGCCCACATCTCTCTGAGCTGCAGTGCTTGCAGAGCAGCTGGAGCCCTGACCACTTACCTACAATGTCCATATGAACCCCAAAGCTTTCAGTCTTCACAGAGGAAGGTACACACAGGGCGCTTGGGATAATGCTCCAGAAATCATGGCAGGAGAAGGAAGGGTGGGCTGTATCCCGAACTCAGGTGGGTGTGGACACATTTCCCAGGAGTGCCAGGGGCAGCCTGTGCTGGGCATGTGGAGCAATACTGAGCTGCCGCTCAGCAAAGGGGGAGTGAGGAGCAGTGAGCAGAGTTGCCTGAGGAAGGAGAGGTGAAAAGCTGAGCATAGCATTCTGGCTGAGTCAGAGGGAGGGGAGGAGGCTTACCTGGAGCTAGTCCCGCCGGTGTCCTGGGAAAGAGGGGTGCAGCTTTCAGTCCTCGGATCGGCATAGTGCTGGGGAACAGGTCTGGTTTATCTGGGTCACAAAGTGCCCCAGGGTATCTCCATCTCCCAAACATCCTGCATCCCACCACTCTTGGCCTCAGCATCCCTTGTGCCACATCAGGTGCTGGTGAGAGCTGCCTTGCTTCTATTCATCTCACTGTCACAGGAAAACCTATCAAAATTTTGGGGTTTTTTTTCTCCTCAGTTTTCTATAAGGTGACCAGTTAATTTGTCTCTGGGATGAGGTTTGACAGAGCCCAGGAGCTGGCACAGGGTGAGAAGTGACAGTACATACCTGTGACTTGGTTAGAACCCTTTCCTTTTTGGCACTGAGCTGAATGGAGCAAGGTTGTTTTGTGCAGCATCCTCATAGCCCCACCCGCTAATCTGAAAACACCAACCTGACAGAAGGCAAGAAACACAACTCTATCATTCAGAAGAGGGGATCCAGCTTGTGGGACTCCAATATGGGGCAGAGTTGGGAGCAGTCTGAAGCCTCTCAGGACCAAATCCTGACCTTGCAATATCACTAAACATACATTTATGCATGCCATGCAGCATGCCATAACTTCCAGAGCCATTCCCATCAATATCCACAAGTTGTATGTTGTGTGGCATTTTTAATCTTTACAGCTGGAGATTAGGAAGTGCAGAATGAAAGCTGTACTGTAAGTAAATAGATTATGTGGAGTTTAGAGAAACTAAGCTGCAATCTTAAATTCAAATAACTTTCCTATTAGGAAGGATCTATTAATACTTACGGTATGGTAATTGTGCAGACTCCAAGTCCTCATCCAGTCAAAAGTAAGCCTTAAGAGCCCATACCTACCCATGGAAAAATCCCCTTAAAACACTGGGAATTTTGCCTATGTAAATACTGCAGAACTTGAACTGCAAATGCCTCTTTTATAAACTACGAAATCAGAGCTTGATCACAACAGCAAAACTTCAGTAAGAAATTTAAAGCAATGCACACTGCTGCAAGAATACACTTGGAACCCAGACTTCCTCAGGTTTTTGCACTGCTTTTCCCCCTTGATACCATTTCTTTTTCCCTATAGGTGAGGCCATCCCCAGTACTAATCTTTGTTCTTTGTGCCTCAGCCCCGCTGGGTAAGCATCATCTTCCTTTTCCTGCTCCATCCTCTTGCTGGCCCAACGATTATCCCACAAGGCACACAGTTTCCCTTTGATGGTTGCTCCTCAATGCTACAAGATATCTGAGAACAGCCAACTTTTCTCCTTCTGTCTAATCTGTGGTCAAAAAGTGAAAGATTTCATTCTCTTCAAACAGCTGACCACCCTCTCCTGCCTCTCTCATTTCATCTGCTGGTGCTGGTAACAAGGATACCACTCTGGGCTGCCTTTCTTTGTTTTGGAAGCTCTCATAAAGGCTTCTCTTTAAAAGACATTTTCAGCAGTTGTGTCAAAGCTGGATTTTTAAGTTGTTGTAAGTCTTTCACATTTGTTTGGAGGGACTGAAACTTGCAAGTTCTTAGTGTATACTTAATTTTCAAACTTGTTATCTGTGCCAAGCCAACTCTTTTTGGTTCTCGTTAAAAGGATTTAAATACACTCATCTACTGTAGTCCTTTAAGCTCCTGCTTCCTCCCTGGGGTTCTGTTCTTACCCCATGTAGTGTGCTGCTGCCATCAAGGTCTGAATCACTGGGTTGTTTGGGGACTTGTTCCCCCAACCCATAGGAGGCTGGGAAATGCTCCCTGCTATTCCCAGCAATACCAGCACAACACTGCTGTCACAACTTGTCACCTTTGGGCCCATATCCTGGTCCCCATTTTAGGGCCAGTGGCTGAGGGAGATGTGAAATGATGTGCCAGGATGCTGCAGAGACATTGGTGCCATTCCACTCCCCTGAATACTGAGGTGTGCACACTGAGGTGACTAATTCAAGGTCACCTAGGGAAATACTACACAAACATCCTTCATCTCAGTCCTGGGTCAAACTGTGCACTCAAACATCTTCCCCTGTGTCCTGTGGGAGCCAGCCATCGCTCTGCACAGAGGTGTAAGGTGGGGCACAGTGGACTCGCAGATATCATCCCTCCTCTTGGCCTGGGTAGGGAACCACCATTTGGGAACAGAAGGTGGAAGAGGGAAAGCAAACGAGTCTGTCACACTGCTCCAATTACAAGCAAGGAAAGTGGTGGTCTGTGTGCCTCAGAAACAACTTGGACCCTGGAAAACAGATACACGTGTAGGAACTAGGGACTGGGTGGGGGGAACAGCAAAGCCCACGTAGACACTGCAAATGTGTGGGATTTTCATCTTCAGGTCAGCACAGATGGACATAATGATCCCTTGAGGCTCTCCACTTGAAACTGCTGGTTCCAGCTTGCCCCTCCCCTGCTCCCAGCATTGCTGCTGATCGTATACTGCTCTGCTCCTTCTCCTTACACCTCTTATCTGCCACGTGGAACGTGCTCAGGGAAGCCCAGCTTCTGGGTCTGCAGCCTGCCAGTTCCTTTGGCCTAATAAGCAGTTATAGATCCCATTGCCCTTTTATTACAGGTAAACCTAGGACAGGTCCTAAAGTAGATAAGAAATATTAATTCTGAATCTTTCCATTTCAAGCTAAACATTATATTGGTTTATCTTTTGTGTTTGACATGCTATAAATCAAACAGGACCTGAATACACTCCTCATGACTTTTGATATTATGTACATGTGCATCTCTGCTGTGCTCCTGGTGCCTTTGCCAAAACATTAACAGTAATACTAGGACTAAATAGAACAGATGTTCTGTAATCCCACACCAAAAGGCAACCTGGGGATATTGGAAATTATGCAGGTACAAAAAGCTTTATCCCTCGAGCCATGTACTTTTGCTATATAAACAAATTATCATAACAGCTCTGTGAGGTGTCACCATCACCTTATGAAGAGGAGACTGAGATGATTGATTTGGCGAAGAACATGGGGTCAGGGAGCTCTGACCTCATGGTAGTTCCACCCTCCCTCTCCATTATGTATGCTGTCTAAGTGTATAATGTAATATTTCAGTGGAGGGATCATTAAACTGTAAAACTCTATATTAGGAGGGTTATTTTAATTCTTTCCCCAAATAGTAGATTGTCTCCATAGATAACAAAATACAAATATCCAGTTAAGCGGGGAAAAAGCTAAGCAACTTTACAGATATCAAGTTCTTTTACCCTACACTGTTTGATTTCCCTTGGGGTATAACAAGGTACTCAGCTAAAAGCAAAGATGTGTCCCTGGGGAAAGTCTTTACAACGTTGTCGTATTTGTATTGTGGTAGGAAGTCTATCGGTTATAAAACTGTCAAAAAAATTGTCAATGGCCAAAAAGTTGGGAATGTTTCAGGCCTAATCCAGTGCCTGTCAAAACTCATCATCAAAACTTCCACTGACTTGGAGAAGTGCAGAATCTCTGTCATTTCCAGGAGCTATTTTACAGCATCACATCTTGCTCATTAATATCCACCTGACAAGCATATATAACATCCAGTATTTCTTTACCAAGATGCAACAGCTTGAAAAAAAACCCATTTATTTTTAACTTAGAAAAATGTCTGTGCTTGCTAAGTTTCAGTACCCAAAACTAGGATGTTTTAAAATTCTTCTCAGATAGCTGAGGGTTCACAGAACAGATGGACACAGGGAGGAAGAAGATAATAATGGCAGCCCATCACTTTGTAGCACTGCTGGTACCACATCATTACCACAGCCAGAATGTGCAACAGACCACAGCCGTTTCCCCCTCCATGCTAAATGATTAAGAGGTGCTGCTTAGATGTGATGCTTCAGATTTGTCAGCAGTCTCCAACTCGCAGGATATGTTGAGGAAACAGCTCTCTTCTTATAAATGCTCTTGTACTCTTACACCTCTGAAAGCAGCATTGATAAGGAACAGACTGGAAATGCTTAGTGTGGAAGATTCAGCATATAAACATAGGACAAAAATCCAAAAAGAGATTTGTCTCTCCCCAACTATGCTGTGTTTGCCCTGGATGAAGAAGTGGTGAACAAGTTCTATTTTCAGCTGCGCACACAGTGCTGTCTCAACGACGGCTGTTGCTGCCTGAGCGGCTGGGCACACACCTAACACAGGATCCCTCACTGGTTTCTGCCTGAACTATTGCTTTGCTGTCAGGTGCCTGCAGCCTTGGCTTTGCTACTTAACTTCACTGTCAGGCTCTGCTTTTGCCACCAAAATAGGGGACTTAACAGTAATAAATTTCTTACAAGATAGGGTTTAGGTGATATGTTAAAAAGCAGGCACAAAAGTAGCACGATGCAACTAAGGGAGAGCAAACTCTGTATGATCTGCAAAGCTGAAACAAAATTGTCTTTTTCTTCCCAGCTGTTTCCAAAGCCACCTCTGCTCTATGCCTTCATGCCTTCTCGCTCACTAAATAACTTTTTTGATGGCAGTGGCTGTCTAGGAGCAAACCTGGAATCTATACGTTCCCCTTGCAGGTGCAGGGAGAGCTACAAGAATGATGTGAATTGGCTGCAGCCTTCCTAACCACATTCATGTCATGCCACTCTGGCTGGGATGCCGGAGAGAGAATTAATGGAGTGTAAATCCATGTTTGGAAATCTCCAGCCTCTCCCTGTAACTCCTTCATTCCCTTTGCAAACCACAGGAAGAGGGAATCTCCCCAGAGAACCACAGCTGCACATTTTGGGTCTTGATTAAAAGTAGTGGAGAATTCACACAGCCAGGGCTGCTTGTCTAACGGGTTCAGAGTGAACTGCGATACTTCCAAGGGAATCTGTAGTCCTGAGACTAAACCCTGTGAGCAACAATCCTCTTTTAAAGTTATTGTATGGCTTGGCTACAGAGATAAGGCACCAGATGGCTTGGGAAGAATTTTTAGGAGACAGTCTGCTGGTATGCCTGGAAGGATCTTGAGAGTTTACGTTTACAATAGACCATTTCTTTGGAGACGAATGTTTGTCAGGAACATCAGTTTTAATTACTTAAAATGTATGCTGTTTCCAAATGCAGACAGTGTTA